CATCGAAACATACTTTCGTTTTGTAGATCCTTTGGGAGCTCCAGCACCGGAAATTCTATTTGACATAATTGAAAGTTCAAGTTTACTTTTATAAAATTGCTCTTACAGTTTGCAAAAAATAATAAGCCGGATCCAATTCGAAGATTAAGGATTAACGCAATCATCAACATTAACTGAAATAGATAATTAGATAATTTTAGCTTATGCCGTCCGTTATACATAAAACGCGCACGCGAAAACGTATTCTGTGCTTGCGCACACGCATATGCACAGTCGTAAAGGTCTTACGCGCACGCGTAAACGCCTATGCGCATGTATCAACGCGGCGCATGCGCAGAAAGTTTTTAGCTTTGGGGTCCAGATTCTGGGTGTCCGAATTAACGACTTTTGACTGTATATATATATATATGCACATATGCATGATAAAAAAAGAAACCAAAATTATAAATTAAATTAGCAATAGCCCCGTAATTCTTCATTTTAATTTGTGTATCTCCCCTTTAGTTCTTTAAGTAGAAATTGTTAATAATAATTTTCTCTGGACTGCATCTTTTCAAAATTGTTCTCTTGTTCATTACTGAAGTAGTGAAGCAGAGGGGCCCCAAAAAAAGATTTTGCCCCGGTCCCCAGTTAGGCTAAGGCGGGCCCTGTTTGCACCCATGCAGGGAAGTCTTCACCAAGTTGTTACTGTCACCATCTTCAATATATTGCAGCTCTTACCAATCATCATAATATTACAGATTTTAGCTAGTATGATAGGTTTTTCCCTGCCTCATGAAATCTCCAATGGAAAAGTATATGCAACTAGTTCACAAGTTCTACACACTTTAATATCCATTAAAAACATTATGCTCATCAATGAAATACCTTTCAGTGAATTGAATCAAACTGGTTTTCAGCATCAATAATGAAAATTATGTTGTGACTAATTTTATAGGCATCTGAAATTTTATTGGGGGGGGGGAGAAGTGAAAAGTATTTCTCTTCCAGTTTAAAAGCATTATAATTCAGTAGTTTTTAAAAACAATTTTGAATTTATAAATTTTGTGAGTAATTTTAATGTTATTTTTAAATTTAATTTTAATGTTTTTATACTTTTCAATTATTTTGTCATCATAATGAATAAGAAATTTGCTGATTCTTTGATAAAATTCTAAATGTTTACATTATTACCATGACATAATGTAACATTTTTATTCACTAAATGTATAACTTGAGTATACAAGTTATTAGTCTTAATTTTATACAACATTTGAATTTTTGTATATTAATGTTTATATTTTAATTATGTAACACTGAAGAATATTTACAACTACAAATCATAATCCAACAACCATCAACAAGTACTTATGCTGATTCGCTTACAGAGGATCTGCCCATTACTTTACATGGTTTGTTTTGTTACTGAACTATATTGTTACTTTGCAGCATTTATTAATTTCTATAGTCCATTTTACATTGCTTTACAATAAGAAAAGTAAATTGTTTTACACAAAATAAATATTTATTTTAATAGAATTTCATGAATATGTAAAAGAAAAATTTTGGTTTTATACTGAATACAACAGGTTTACCAAAGACTTTAAAAGAAGGACTAAAAAATTACATTATGATATTCAAACAAATATTCTCAAGAACTGTGAACTTTTACAATTATTTCTTGAAACATTTAGGACTGTCTTTATGAGCTTTTTAAAGAAGTGAATGAGAGTTTGAAGAACTTTAAATGCTTATATTTTAAAAGAAAACTAACTTACAAACTTTTAAAATTAGACTGAAATTTTAAAAAGGTTCTAAAGTTTGCATTTATTGTCAAAAATATTGTATACAAAATTCTGTTAGTTAAAAAAGTTTTAGATAAAAATTTTATGATTTTTCCAAAATTATATTTACATGCACTTGCAAATGTTCTAATGCTTTTTTCTAAAGACTTTTTTATCACTAAGCCTTTTTCTCTTTGAAGGGGGATATGTATGATTAAAAATCTATAAATCAAAATTATAATATAAACTAGCAATAGCCCCATAATTCTTAATTTTAATTTGTGTATCAACAATTCCATTCTAAAAGCAGCAATTGTTTATAATTATTTTTTCTACACTGAATCTTTTCAAGATTAATTCATTCCATCCCTTCTTACGTAATCTTACAAAATAGACACCTTTTATCCAATCACAGATCAAGATACCTTTTGATTACCTCCCACTTTTCTGAATGGACTATTTCAACTTTCCTTGCTCTGTTAGCATGTGTTGCTAATCTCTCTGTATCATCCATTATCTACAGATGTGATAGGCTATACAAAACTGTAAGGTGCATATTGCATTCTGATGTGTGAAGAAGAATCTGTACATCAAGAATGAGTTGGCCAATAAAAAATTAAAATTATGTCTTGTCTTCAGTTACGTCTGTCTTTAAATGCCATCTTTGTATCTATGGAGAAAAGAATTTGCCAAATTGTACCTATACAACTCTCCAATACCAGCAGGTACAGGTAGAAGCTAGGTTAGCACCTCTGTAGTATCACAGGTAATTGAGGTATTGCTGAACCTAGCTAATCGTTAAGCTTTTGCCCCAATTTTGAGGTAGAACAACTTGGGGGGTTTCAAGTTTCTCCTATCTTTTTTCTCCTACCATCAACCTCTCGAGACCTCCATACCCCATGGACACTATATAATTAAAAACATCCCTACCTTCTCTGGGATTCGAACCCGGGTCTATCCGTATGGCAGTCAGTGTCATCAACCACTATACCGGCTGGGAAGCAACATGAGAATCTTTGCGGTTCCCTTTGCAACATGCTATTCACATTACTTATTTTATTATCAGTTCCTGATTGCACTCTATTATAAACTTTTGCTTGCATTCTTTCATTAGGGATCTTCTTGTTAGCACAGTCATTTTATTTGGAAAAGATCTCTACTAATATTTTGCAGTTATTTCATTATCTTGTTTATGCTTTCTCTTGGTCATTTTAGGAGGTTTGTGGTTGGGCGTTTCATGTTATTTTCTTCTGTAAGGCCGCAATTAAATATACGAGGTGTGACACGCACACACACAAAAAGGCTAAGTTGTGTAGCTTGAAAACAGAGTGAAGATGTCAACAACTGTTTTGGTGACGTCCTGCCACACACCTCCTCTATCCATGCAACCAGTTTCGACTTAACTGACCACACCAGTGGGGAATATTGAGTCTTTGAGTAAACACGTGCAACTGCATTCTGCTGGAAAAATGTCTAATGTAAAAACTGAACAGCTAATCAACATCAAGTTTCTTGTGAAACTTAAGGAACCAGCCACAGAGGAAACATTTCAAATGTTAATCGAGGCTTATGGAGATGAAACTTTGTCTCATGCACATGTGTTATAATGGCATAAGCCGTTTTCAGGGGAAGGGACAGTGTGGAAGATGATGAAAGTGCATGGTCACCCAAAAGAGCGGGGTTGAGTGGGTTCCCAGTGGTCAGATTGTTAATGAACACTACCACATTGAAGTACTAAAAATACTTCGTGAAAAAAATTAGGGGAAAAAAAGGCCACAGTTGTGGAGTGATGGATGGCTGTTGCACCAGGACAATGCACCTGCTCACACTGCCCTGTCTGTGAAGCAGTTTCTGACCAGTAAAAACATTACTGTGATGGAGCATCCTCCTTATTCACTTGACTTGGCACCATGCGACTTTTTTTTTTATTTTCTAAAATTAAAACTTACTTAAGGAGAACCCATTTTATCTCAACTGAAGAGGTTCAGGCAAAAATGGAGAATCTCCCGAAGGGGCTTCCAAAAACCTGTTCCACAACTGTTACCAGCAATGGCAGCACCAAATGCAGAAATGTGTGAATATTGAAGGGAACTAACTTTGAAGGCAATAATGTCATGGAGATCTGATTCTGTAAGTACAATGATTTATTGGACCAGTCTTGTTTTTTTTTTTTTTTTTTTTTTTTTGTGTCATACCTTGTATAATAGTCGGGATCACCCCTTTCTCCACATATGCATGTATCTGTGCTTGTGATGTTTCTTTTGAGAAAGTATGTTGGACAGGGGCCGTGCCCCATCATATAGTAGTACAGAAATTTGTTGCTATGCAGTTCTTTTGTGTTGATCTTTGGGATTATGTCATGTAGTTTTCTTGCTTGACAGGCAGTGTCCCGTTCCTTCTGCCATAAAGCTTCTCCAATACCAGCAATAAATTATGTCCAATTCATTACAGCACAATCTTCACGATCTTATAGATTATATTACCTCCATGTGTTTTAAGTTGGTGACATGAAATATAAAGCAGCAATTATGGCTTACTGAACACATTTCATTTCTGGAAAAAACAATTCTCTGAAAGCACATTTTTAAAATTATTCTTATTGATTCTTTGATTATAATTATGAAAATACAACTGATGAAACAGCGGTAAGTGGCAACAGGCTAGTAGGTATATCATATACCTAAGATGAAAGTCTGGAACAGATCATAATGATTTGTTTTTATTTAAGCTTTATTGGTAATTTTTAGTTACAAAATTTGAAATCACTGTTAGACAAAACATTACCTAAGTATTTGTATCATTAGTGCTATGCAAGAATCATATGAACAGATTAATATTGAAATGATACAGTTCAGAGAAATTTATTAGAAGCACTTAACTATTTTTAAGATAGAAAGAGGATATAATCAAATTAGAAGAAGTATTATGCAAGTATCTTTGTCAATAACATTATGAAAAAATTAGATTAATTTTGAAATGATAAAGTTAAGTGTAATTTATTATAAACATTTACTATGTTTAAGACAAAAAATAAAATGGAGAGCTAAAGGGCTAAAAGGGCAAATTAAAGTTAGAATTTTGATTTACATATTTTTATACACCCCTCTGACATATATATATATATCTGTCATGTGCCTCCCAAATAAGATGGAAATTTTCAGTAATTTTTAAAAGCTAATGTAATATATATATATATAGAGAGAGAGAGAGAGAGAGATAATTATAAATCTAACATACTTGTTCTAAATGGCCATTTATATAAGTTAAAACTCGGTTAACACATTGAAATTCTGCATAACGTGCAATGTTAGATGTTATAAGCAGCTCTACAAGTGAACCTCTAGAGAACATAATCTGAAATAAAAATCTACAATTATACATTCACAATCAAATAAATACAAAGCGTAATATACTGATAATATCCAGTAGATATTCAGAAGAGTTTAGATATAAAGTTTCATTAATTTCTTATAATTTTAATTCAGTAAAAAAAAAAAAAAAAAAAAAAAAAAAAAAAACTTCAAATACTAAAATGAGTATGACTAGTATAAAGATCAGATGTCTTTGACTTGGAGGTCCTTTAACTACTTCATGATCAATGAGTTCAATCATATTCCTTGCTTATTTTCCTAAATTTTTGATACTGCTGTTTGCATTATTTACTATTGTTGATGCAAAATCAAGGCAATCATATTGTCCACGCATACAACATATTGCTTTTTATTATATTATGTAACAGATCATAAAGCAAGTCTTTGTTTCTTCTTAATCTATTTGTATAATTATTATTTCACTTCTTTTAGTGAGGTATCATTTATACTATGGATTTAAAATCAAGAAATTTATTCAAAATTAGTGACAAATGTGTAAAACATATTTACAGAAGTAAAGATAAATCACTCAAAGTCAAAATAAAGGGCATTGATTCAGGAATTCATTGTAACATAGTACTGTTAGATTTAGAATAATAGTTTATATAATAATCATATTGTACCACTAGTCATACGATGTTAAATTTTCAAAAGAAAAAAAAAAAAAAAAAAAAAAAAACTCTGACAATAATTTTTTTATAGTTGGCAAGTTAACAGATTGATTAAGTAAATGCTAAAAATTGATTAATTACATGACAGAATTTTGCGAAAATTTTCATAAATTGAAAGAAAGTTGAAAAGAAGTTGTTTTTGGCTGCTAATATTTTTTCTGATTAACATATAAACATTCCTCAAAGTCTTGCAATATATTTATAATAAATGACATTATATATTTTAGACCATAATTAGTTTGCATTCATTTAGATACATATGGCCAAACTGGACAAAATATGTATATGCTGCATCTAATTGGACACAAATGACACTTAATGTGCTAATCACATTAATTTCATGTTTGATTTCAAACATTACACTTTTCAATCATTTAAGTCTTACTTTTGATTCATTCTACATAATACTACAACTATTAGTTTTTTCTTAGTTTTTAATAGGCCCATTTTAAAATTTTGCTTGCATATGGCTGTCCCAGAAAAAAAGAAAGAAAATTCAAGATAAATTAATATTTAAAATTTTATTTGAGCAATCCATTGCATAAAGATGACTATAAATATATTTCTACGATTTAAAATATATATATAAAAAAAAAAACCATTGAAATGTTTAGATATAAATTTAACAAATCAATAAAAGTAATCTGTCCTTCACTTCATGTCAAGTCTGTTACCTTGAGATTATTTTACCCACAATTAGTTTGTAAATCTGCCTAAAGGGGGCAGTACATATTCAGAGTAGTCAAGCTTAGCTCGACTAGTTTATCTACCTCAGTAAATATGTCACCTTTATGCAATGCATTGCTCAAATTAAACTTTAATTATTAATTTATCTTGAATTTTCTTTCTTTTCTTCTGGAACAGTAAATGTAAGCAAAATTTGAAAATGGACCAAAAACATTCAACTGAATAAAAAAATAAAATACAAAGTGGATAAAAATGTATGAAAACTAGATTTAAATTTTACATATACAGAAAAATTGCACATTTCCCCATCCATTCCATTATAATTCATGCCTGAAAGTAAATGGTTAAAAATTAAAATGTAATAAAGTTCAGTTTAAAATAATTCAAATGCTCTTCATTAAGTTGCAGACTTCAAGCAAAGTACATGAGCTGATTGAAATGTTTTAAAACTGATTCTTTTATTCAGAATCATATGAATTCATATATCTTGTATTTTTTACTTTATCAAAGTGGTGTCCTTTACAGTAAATTACATCTTTTATAATATTTTATGAGTGAATCAAAAATATCAAACAGCTTCTTTTTTTTCTTTTTTCTTTCTTTTTTTTTTTCCTTTTTTTTTTTTTTTTTTTTTTTTTTTTTTTACATCTCTTTCAGTAATATGGCTATGGCATTTTTCTCTTCATCAAACGACAAGAACCTTCTTCCATGCAATTGCTTTTTCAGTGTTGAGAATGACATCTTCAACTCCAGTGGATTTCTTACCAGAACATATGTATCAATCAGTCACATTTTATGATTTTTGAAGTTCCCATCACTATTGAAGTATTGAAAGTATAGCAAAATGCTCTAATATCATGCATATTATAATAAAATCTGTGATCTTAAATACATGCAGGCAAAATACATGATCTGAAAGCCTTTTGTATATACAGTCAAAAGTCTTTAATCCGAACGTTCATAATCCGGAATGATCTATAATCCGGACCTCAAAGCTACAAACTTTCTGCGCATGTGCATTCACGCATGCGCATAATACGTTTACACATGCACACAATATGTTTACGTATGCGCATAATACATTTACGCATGCGCTTTTAACGTATAATGGACAATATAAGTTAAGCTAAAATTATCTAATTATCTATTTCAATTAATGTTGCAGATTGCATTGTTCCTTAATCTTCGAATTGGATCCAGCTTATTATTTTTTGCAGCCTGTTAGAGCAATTTTATAAAAGTAAGCTTGAACTTTCGATTATGTCAAAAAGAATTTCCAATTCTGGAGCTGCCGAAGGATCTACAAAGCGAAGGCGTGTTTTGATGTCCATCAAACAAAAAGTGGAATTGCTGCAAAAAATGGATAAAGGCATATCCTTTGTTTCTCTAACCATTCCGAAATCTGTTTATCAATTTCACGTGGCTCTGAGGGGGGGGGACGACGCGGTGCGCAATGAACTGGAAGTTGATCTGTCAGCACTATCCTTATCTTCAGGGCAGATGTTTTTATTTTATTCAGCTTATAATTCCTTACTAAATGTAGTATTTCATCTCGATGTACTCCGTCTTTGATATGATTTAAATGAAATTCCTCGTCATTATAAATATCACGAATACACATTTCGAATAGTTTTCTGGTTGCAATTTTCTAATGTCGACTATGTGTAATGTATGCTTTATGCATGCGTGCGCATTGAAAGAAATTTAATAAAGTAAACAAATACATATTAAACTTTTTTTTTTTTTGTAAATTTTGATACCCTTTAGATCATAATTGCTCTTTATTTCATAAATTATGGTTTCATATTTTTAATTTTATAATTTTTGCATGCCATCTTACCAGATTTAAATTGATGATCTATAATCAGGAAAAACCGATAATTCGGAATCGCCGAAGTCCTGACGAGTTCGGATTAAAGACTTTTGACTGTATATTTTTTACTTATCCTTTTTTCTTTCATTTTATAACTTATACATTGTTGAACTTATGCATTACTCGACTTAACTGGCATTATCATATGCGTCACGTATATTGAATTATTGCATCCCTGAACTAAATTTAATATTATGATAAAGAGTATTGTTTTATGTTAATTTATTATTATGCTAAATTCATTGTTAACCATGTATAATGGCACCTTATTGTGTTATCATTAATCTACTGCTAGGAAGAACTGATAACTGGAAAGGACGATTGAAAAAAAAAAACCACTGAAAATTCCATTGAACCACTGAAAAGATTTCATTGAAAAGAAATTATTATTAGAAGCACAGGATGATAGTTCTATCAAACTAAATACATTATTTGGCTAAAATTTATTGTATTTATACTATCATTATTAATTTTTTCCATTTTTTCCTGGGGGTTGGACATAAATGTCACACATCTTTACTGCATTAAATAAGGCTAAAAAAGCTTACTATGCAGATTTGCTACACATTGCAGAGCAGGAAATGGCAGACCTTGTTGATTTGCTTTTCTGTTCCTTGCTGACTGAATTTTACATAAAACACTGGTCTCTACAGCCCACATGAAAAGCTTAATCTAAACTTTATTGTATTTGCATTAAATTTATTTTTGAACAGAATTTTATGTTTCTGCAGCAAATATTCTTACTCAATTATGATGCAGTATTCAACTGAATTTGACTCATATTTCTACATATTTTAATTGTAACTGAAAATTATAATTCTGACAACTCTGTAATTTGTAACTGCAAATCTGCCAACTCTGTAAACTGGACTGCAACTCCGTCAACCATGTAAATTGCTACTCTATAAACTCAAAATTATAATTCATGCTTCTATGCATTCTAATTCAAAACTGTGATTCAGTAAATTGCTTTAACTCTCAATAAAAGCAATATAATAGATTTACGGCTGACAGTTTAAAGCAGGATAGCTGCCATTCTTGTGCAGTAAAAGTAAAAGGTTGCTTTTTACTTTGGAGCCTCAGGTTACCATAATTTCCATGTAAAGACTCCCCTTTCCCTTTCCAGTGATAGTAATCCGAGCGATTGTAGTTTAGTTTTTAACAACTGCGAAATTAATTCAGATTTTTAAGATATTAGCTGGATAACATTAAACTTGAAAAAATTATTCAGTATGTAGAATCCTACTTTATATCTTTGATCAGAGATATTAAATCCCTGACACCAATCAGAGATCCAAATAAATACCAATCAGTGAAATCATGCAGTACCTTCCCAATAAATTAATATTTAAAAATTTGAATTAATTTCATTAAGAAACACGAGGAAGTAAAGAACTACCCCAGAAACAAGTAATCCAAGGATCCAAAGATAAAAAGCAACAGCTAGGTAATATAGACCAGTTATGATCTTCCACATAACCAAGTAACAAGAAGCAGAAATTCAGAGGAGTAATTCTCTGTCAGTCATCATCATCAGACTGAGTCTGATGATGACCATTTTTAAAGGAGAGTTATTATTAAATAGCTTTCAATTCTCAATCAATCAATGGAAACATAAAATTTTCATACCAAAGAAATTTACAGATTTGCCATAATATAGAATATCCATCACAATTTATTTAATGCTATTAAAAGGCTGAAAATAGCATAAGGAAAATGTAAATAGAATAAAATATGCATACCTAATACATGAATGGCATTTGTTTCAAATACCTGACTGTAAAACTGGTTTTTAGAAAAAACAGTGGCAATCAATTTCATGAAATACAATCAAGGTAATTACAAATTACACATACACTATGTGAAAACATGAAATAAAATAATAAAACTGCATATGTTTAATATAAAACTAAGATAGAATATCCTAACAACTGAATATAAATACTATACCTTAGGTGCTAAGTCAATATTAAATTTTCTTCGATTTTCTAAAAAGTTGCGTATCGACCACTCTTGCTGCAAATCAACTATGGAAACAGGTTGATTGTCAGCATTATTAGTATCAGGAGAGGAAGTATCATTTTGGCTTGAACTATTAAGAGTTTCTTCACTGTCTGCTTCTGACTGTACACCTATAAAATAAACAGAATATCATCAGAAAGATGGATGCACTTTCCAAAGCATAATAATTTATTTTAATTAATTAATTTTTTATAAATAATTCATCGTAAATTCATTCCACAGATTACATTTCCTTTGAAAAGAATCTTGTTGTTTTTAAACATCACAGAAGTACTCATCCTGTTGACATCAGAATTCACATGATACTTGCAAAAAACAAGATTTTTTAAAACAGAAATTTAATTTGTGGGATAACTATCATAATAAATTTATGATAAATTAATTTTAAAAACTTTTTTAATGGATGAATGAATATCAATGAATTTATGGAAAATTAATTTATCATGAATCCACTTTGATTTCATTTCCATCACTACTGATTTGTATACTAGTATACTGATTTGTATTATATGATAGCCATTGGAAACTAATTACATGTATTAACTATAAACTATTGGATTAAAACTGAATACTAGATAAGTTACATATATTCATGACTATAAAATCTAAATGGTATAAAAGCACTAAAAATATGTTGATCTAGATTTCCTCTAGAGAGCTTGGTTGTAAAAGAAAGAGAATGCCCATCTCCTGGATGCTTTTGGTTGAAAACTGAATCAGACAGATAGCATTTGTGTGCCTTCTATTAATTTAATAAATAAACTCAGGACCAATTTTTAATTTTTAAAAAAATTATTACAATTATTAGTTAGAAAACTACTTTGACAGTTAATAATATTCACTAATTTGATTAGCTTACCTTCAAAATGTGAGAAAACAGTTAAACTGTCTAATTACAGAGAAAAAATCAATGGAAAAAGAAGCAAGCAACAATGATATTGGTAATACTGAAAAGATATTTAAACTGCAACTATTAACATGAATTTTCAGCCACACTCATCATTATCTTCTATTTCCTGTTACTTAAAAAAACTGTTTCAAATGCTATATTTTTATGATGTTTGATCTTTGGAATTTCACACTTTTAAAGGCTCTGCATGGGTATAAGTGTTACAAAATTTATAATATTTAAAAAACATACCCAGTTATCATAATAAACTCAGAGTATGAAGAAAGTGTTTAATGCCAAAACTGTTAATAGCCAGTGGAAACAATAATGTAATCCCAAAAGAAAGCATATACATAGTCAGTAATTATGGCTCAGACAGTAAACAAATATTTAATGAAAATTGTGACTGCAATATTTTGATGAAAAGTGCATAATATATATTGATATTTAACATACACTGCTGGCCATTAAAATTGCTACACCAGGAAAGATAGCAAATGGCAGAATATTATTTACTGCACATATACAGTATAATAAGAAAAAGACATGATTGATTTTGCAAGTGGTTTGGGATACACATCATGCAGAATTCAGTGCACAGAGATACCACCTCTGGCAGCAACTATGGCTGTAATTCAAACTGGGCATTGTGTCAAACTGAGCTTGGATGACAGATATGGGTACTTCATTCCATGTGGCTTAAACTCTATGTTACTAAACATAAATCATAATGGCTGGCAAGCGGCATTTATAAAGTTGTACATCCTACAGTTTCTGCTCTTTTACTGATATCATTTTAATTGAGGTAATGCTAAAATTTTTACACTTAAATTCAAACAAAAATTTTATAGTAATTAATGAAATAGTGATAGTGATAGACAGTGTTGCGAGATCTACTAAATCCAGTTCTAATATGCTACTAGATTGCTTTTATTCTACTTAACTGCCATAACATCATTTTATAATACAGAAAGTATATTCTCCAATTGATTTTTGATATTTAAATTTTTTTTTTGCATACCAGGAAAATTTTGTGACATGTCAAGTTTGGCATGTAAGTGCCAAACTAGTCAGTACTACTTTTCTGTTAAACTGTCAGTACTACTGTCTGTCAAAACTACTGTTCTAGTCAGTAGTTGGGTTAAAGGAACTTAATCTACTTTAAAAAGTTCATCGCATTATTAACTAGATGTTTGAAGGAATAAAGAAAATCTACTAAAGAAAAAGTTTATGCTTTCAAGCTACATATTAAAGTCATATTAATGCATTTTTGGTTATTACATAAAATCTATCTTTTATTTGCCAATTAATTTTATTCCTATTTTATCATTTAATCACCAGTTATGTAAAAGTATATCTTTTTGTATTACAATAAATGTTACTGTTAAAATGATTAAAAAATATTAATATCTCATATAATCATAACTTCCTCTACTGTATGTTAGTTTCACAACAAAATATTTAATACTTTTCCAGTTATAATAATTTATCTAAAACATAATTTTATCAGCATTTAAGCAATTTTCTTAGGTAGAATAATATCAGGAAGCACAAAATGTGCTAAATTGTAATAACATGTTATCATTACATTGCTTTAAGGACAGCAAAATAAAAATGCTTTTCTTCCACTAGCATACAGTTGTTAGCACATGCCCCCCCAAAAAAAAAATCTATAAAAATATCATTTATATCTGTTATAAATATGGAAAGATAAATAATTTACATACTATCAGTTGAAGGTGCAACATTAACGGGTTGATCGTCAGATGAGTGGCTGGCTTCACTTTCTGTGTTATTTAAAAGTTCATTAATTTCAGCATTTAAAGTAACTGGAGAACAGGGCTCATCTCTAAAAGAAGGGAGGAAGCCTTTATTTTTTAATTGCAGCCTATCATTTTAAATAAAGCAAACAAAGCGGGAACTGGAAACAAACATATTAAAAGCAAATATAGTTAGATTTATCAAAGTACTGAAATATAATCCTGTAAATTCCCAATCACATGCCAGTATATATTTTACAATAAAAAAAATAACATGTATCTTAGAAATGTTAATATGACAACATTTTCACATGGTAACATTAAAGAACAGATTTAAATTTACTAATTGAATGCAGTTAATGTGTTGATTAATAAATAAAGTACATTAAAAAGAATAAAATCTAAAGTACCATTAAAGAACATAAATAGTAAAATAGACTACAGTTTTTACATTAAAATAAATAAATTTAATTAAAAAAATTATTCACTGCAATTTTATGAACACTTTTAACATACTTACACAGAATACCTTGTTAACTTTTAAATTTGATGTTTGTGTGAAATAGGAAGAATCTAAGAAGAATTTAAGAGGCAATCAACAGAAAACATAAATTGTATCCTTATAAATACTTATGGAAACTAAATTTCAGAACTTCTTTAAAATATGATAAGATGCTGTCTAAGGTAACATTGTAAAATGGTCTAAAAGTATTAATACCATAAAGCTGCATTCAAATGGGGGCATAAGTGATTAAAGCCGAGCTCCGTTGCCATGGCAACCAGTCTGTGCTACGTCACAAAATCTGGTTTAGGGGTCGTAGCTTAAGGTTCCAAGTCTTCAACTTTATCGCGAGTTTGGGATAAGCATTGACCAATCAGAGCGAAGCTAAAACAAAGTGGCTTTCTGCAGATAATTTCACTGTCACATCGAAGGCGACTTTTTTTAATATGGAGCACATTGTATCCGAACAAAATAATGAGTTGATCTCGTAAGAAATCTACAATGATGACATGCATTTTTAATGATTCACAATAAATTGAAAAATACGGATGACACTCGTAAAGCAATCATGCACGCTGTGTATGATGCTGTAGGTGATTGATCCCATCCATTATTTTTCATTTTATTATAAAAATTCTTTAAAAAATGCATGCTTGCAAAAATTTTATTATTTCGGTGTAAATTATTATTATTACTTTCTTTATGTTTATTATTTTGTATAAATTATTATTATTACTTTCTTTATGTTTATTATTTTGTATAAATTATTACTATCATTTTCTTCCTGCTTAATTATTTTTGTATTTAAGAACAAATTTATTGAAAAAGCTGGAAATATTGTATTGCTATTTGCTTCAAATGCTGATTTTCTTTCCAAACAAACTTCATGAATTAATTTCACTAAAACATCAAATCAATATCAAGAATCTGTTTTTTTTTGACAGTAAAAATATTACTTTTAAAAAAAAGATAATTTTTTTCACTTATTTAAGAATAATCACAATAGTCAATGGTGTAAGCTTTGTATAAGAAATAAAAAAATTATCTTTTGAGAAAATGCTCTTATGAAGTCCAAGAAGAAAAAAATGTAGGGAAATATCATTAAAACCACAGTCAACAGTCTAGACAGTTTTGTCTCCCGATGACGTTCTGTTCTGTTTCTTAATTACGTTCTCCATGAAAGGAATTTACTTTTAATGAAACTGAATAGCACACATAATTCATAACACGGATTATAATTCAATGAAAGTATTTGTTATTATTATCCACTCTTTATTAATATCATTTGAATGGAATTTTGATCATTAAATTCATTCTATTTCTCTGGTAGAAATTCCTGGATTAGGTATGAATGTTTATAATTTTGTCGTATTTGAAGACTTGGGTACCTAAAATTCGTCAAAGTGAAATTACTTTTGACATATCGGTCGTAAACAGAAATGACAGCATATGTTGAAATTAAACTCTTTTTGGTGCTTTAATATGCATGTCTGCCAGTGAGTGAAGAAATGTCATAATCTGTCAGCAAACGAAAAATCATTAAAAGTACTTACTTCTGACAAGAGATGTGGATGAAACTTGCATCTATGACATCTCAAAGCAGAGCAGACTGTACAGACAGAGTTATGTATATATTAAATTTGAATTACTCATGTGATATAAACATACACAAAAATTCCTGAAAGTTAGTGTTTACTTTGTACTGCATTCTCTCGAGTGTAACCCCCTTTTTGTTTTTCAGGAAAAGCATATGAAATTCAGGGGTGCGGCTTATACATGCAAATTATTACAAACAGCTGGCAACACAGCTAAATGTATTTAATGACTGATCATAAAATACATTGTTGGGTGAACGTTTCATAGTATTGTACTAGTTGTGGTTGCTGGACATGGTGACCAGTTATGGTATACTAGTGATAATTGATACTGGTAGTGCAGCCAACTACTGTAATGATTGGCAGTAACATTGAATAAGGAGTGCTAAGCACAAAAACATGTTCCTTTTGATTGAAAATTAAAATAATAATAATAATGTATGGTAAGAATTGTTTTCCGTTTAACTGCTTTTACACCTGCAAAATGGAAAAATATTATATACGGGCTATCTGTCACTTATCGCCAAGACTTTTTTTTTTATAATTAGGCATATTTAGAATATCGTATTTCTAAGAGAAATTACATATAAAAATTTAAGAAGGTTTTATACATATAAATATGCATGTGCATGTTTATTATATATAGAGTACTACAGCAAAAATATTCCATACTACTTTGCACAGAAATATGTGCCAACCAAGTATTGGTCTTTCAAAAAAATATCTCTAGACCATTTTGTTCTATTTCTTTTTTTACCTTCTTCCATTGCCTCTTGGCTAATAAGAAGGGAAGATAAAAGAGCATTCTGTTGAGTCAGTAAAACTTTGCGGTGAGCTGAAAAAGCCATGACACAAAATAACAAAAACAAGCACAGCGAACGTGGGAAATCACTCGAGCGGGAAAACAGCATGCGAAAGGCGTAGACACATCCATAATGTGCAAATTTAGCTTCTCTCATTGGCCACAGCTTAGACCCCTGTCTCGCAGGTGTGAACGGAACTCCCATATTTTATGACCTTATGACTATGCTTCTATGCCCTTTATGTTGCCGTCTGAACACAGCCTAACACACTACCAGTTTGATAACTTATCACTCTGAATAACAGGAAGACATTAGTAATTTATTATACAATTGGCACAGTAAATAACTGTATAAAAGTATTATTAGTAATTTATTATACAATTGGCACAGTAAATAACTTTATAAAAGCTTAGGCTGAATTTGTATATAAACAATTGCTCCTTAGTCCATTGGAAATATCAGCTATTGTCAAAATCATTTGCAAAATACACTTGCAATACAGATGAATAACAACTGAAACAGCAACAACAAATCCAAATAACAGTAACAACAACAGTTGTATTTATAGCGCAATACAGGCATGGGTCGAGTAGCATAAGATTTTAGAAATTTTGAGAAAGATTGGTTGCTAGTAAAGAGTTATCTCAAATTTCACATTTTATAATCTGAATGTTGCCACACTCAGAACAATAAAATCAGCAATTCCATATACGAAACAAAGGTACTTATGTATTATTGCAACCAGCAAACATGCTCATAACAATCCTTCAATCACCCAATGTTGCCATTTTGATATGTGTTCTTTTTGTCACATTCCAAGTTCCAACAATTTTTATAAATAAATCATGATATTTCTCCCCTCAGTTTAAAAATATGTGTTTGTGGAATTTGATTGCAATGAAAGAAACTGCAGTAACATTTCTGCAGGAATACAGTATTTTGCCAGAAAACTGCTAAGGAAAAAACTGTACCTAAAGTAATTGCCATTAAATTTTTATTAGACCAAAAGGCATGAAAACCATCTTGTAAGTAGATTTATTTATTGATTTTTAACATAAATACCTAAGCAGAATGTAAACTATAAATATAATGTTATTTATAGTTTAGATTTATGCATGTGGTAAGTACTTTTTTACAATTAAAGTGAATGCTGACTTATGTCCCCATTCTTTTCCGTCTTCAAAAATTGTTCAATTGTACAAGGTGTTGTATTAATACATAAGAATTGAAACAAATACTTATTAAAAATATGTGGCCACAATTAAAAAATAACATAACGTAATAAAAAATTATTTAAGTACAGATACAACAATATTAAAATCTTTGCAGGTATTGGTATGCAAAACCTGACCTAAAATGTTTGATAACATTTATGTTAAGTTTAATTTATTACTGTACATGCTTAATTACATGTTAAATTATTACTTTACACACAAGTTACAATTATTACTGTACATGTTTAATTATTACTGTACATACCAATATTCTGCAAAAAAGAATTTGCTAAAAATCGAACAAAACATACTGAAATCACATAGAGTATATAATCTATATAGTAAGAAGAATGTCTGTTTGTGTATTTGTTCACAATACACTTAAGACACTACTATTGCTATCATCACTAAACTTTCTACAATTCTTTTCTGGGTCTTGGGAAAGGTCAACATCTACTTTTTTCTGGGACGGGGGACCAATATACATATATTTTACATGTTTACATGAGTTTAATGAAACTTCTGATTAAAAACTGAAAGCTTTGCATTGCCATTCTGTAAAAGTGTTAGATATATATGTTTCAAATTTAATCAGAATACACGGTGATATAAAAAAATTGTGTTGCCACTCGGGAAAACGCAATTATATTAATTTGTCTCGAATTTAATAAAAAACTCAGCTATTTACGAGAAATGTGTTGCATTGCCCAAATTAAAATATTTCAAAGTATGTTATCATTCAGCAAAACATAAAATGTTTAATTTTTCATGCAATAACATGCATGTTATTGAATGTTGATGTATGCATGTTATTGTTATTTTTGAAAGCAATAAACTTATTTGATTGAATTAAATTTACTTCATCGATAACGCATAAACCACAATAGAATAAATGCATTCTTTAAAATTCACTATACAGTACAAAGTCCATAATCCGGACACATCGGAACTTCGGCGATTCCGGATTAGGGTTTTTCTGGATTATAGATCATCAGTTTAAATCTGGTAAGATGGCATACAGAAATTATATAATTAAAAATATGAAACACAGAGCAATTATGATCTAAAGAATATCAAAATTTAAAAAAAAAGCTTAATTTTTATTTTTTTACTTTATCAAACATTTCTTTTAATGTAAGTTGTTTAAGTTGCTACGTTTTTTTGTGCTAATATTTTCTCTTTAATTCTATAAACAGACATAATTTCTTGTTCAGTTACAAAGTTCCATTGTTTCGTGTCCTGTAATTGCTGGTCGAGAATACTGACTAACTTGTCAATCGAAATTCTTTCGTTTTCAGTAACCTCTCTGTCAATCAGAAGCGGTACTTTCTGGATCTAGAACCATACTACAGATTTTGCCGTCCGTTAATTGATTGATGATTGGAGCATAGTCTTTACAATGAAAAACTTCTGTTACATCACCTTCATTTAATTATAATGTATTGCAGAGCCCTCAAATTTAAGAATGAGCACCAGGAATATCATGTAGGTAGAGAAGTGAAATTGCCTGTACCAGATGGGGAAAAAAATAATGTGCATCCAAAAGCATTTCAATAAACAGAATTAAAACACAAACACTTTCTTTCCTTTAAGTAGCACTACAAAGCATGCTGGGTAACAGTTAGTAGAGAATATTAAAAAGTAGTGCACAATTACTTTTCCAATGATCAGAAAGTTATAATCTAGAATATTTCCATCAATAAGTTAGTTAAATTCTATACAAAAGCAAGCAATGTATGGCAATATATTTAATTTAAATCACATGATAAAACATTAAGACAATTTATGAAACAATAAAATTTTATTCTTTTACTGATTACTTTAATCTTATAGCACATTACATGCTGATTGTTAATTCACATCTACTTCAAGTTAATCTTCAGTTGGGAACATGACACTGCTGGTCACTGGTGACATCTAGGCATTATTTGCAGTAGTTTCTTTTTTTTTCTCCCCTTTGCCAGTACTGAAATGAACTAGCATATTTCCTTAATAATCACCTTTAAAATTGTTCTAAATAAGATTTCACAAGAAACCAAGGCATTTTCCGATTAATTACACTCCCACTAAAAAGTCTGTAAAAAAAAGCATTCACAAGGCAAAGCAGTTTGTCATCAAAATAGTTAAGTGGCAAGTTGTATATGTACACAGCATATGTCTGTTTTGTGCAATGCACAATGCCAGTATTGTATGATGCCAAGTTTATCCAATTCTCTAAATTGTTTAAGAGAAAACAGATTGCTGTGTACATCATGAAAACAAAAGCACTAAAAAGAAGAATTTTTCAAAAAAGGAAGATGTTTTATTACTGATGCATGCTTTTTGAATTTTATTGGTTTATTACTCTTGTATGGAACTGCTAATGCACTGGTATTTTGAAAATGGCTACTTCCTTTGTGCATTAGCTTAGCCAAAAAATGAGTCGCCACTGAGTTTGCAACTTTTCAGAAAGTACGGAATTCAACAATTTCCTTCAACAACTAAAAGCTAAACATACTTCATTTAAACTCCCAAGCTAGTATCTATTTTCACATGAAAATAATCAAAAATTTATCCTCTGAGAACACTATACTGTTTTGCCTAAAATTACATAGAAAGGAAATTTTACCAATACTGTGCATAAAGAACAGAGTTTGTTTAATATAATGGAAAATGGTTCTAAAATATTGATGCAAAGAAAGTTACAAAGTTTAATAATAAGTAATAATAATGAAGAATAAATATATTTTGAAACAACAAAAAGAATATTTAGAAGAAACTGCAAGGCACCTTTTTTAATTCACTTCCACAAAATATGAATGTTATATACAAAAATGCTAAAAAATGACTGAAAATATAAAAGTCTACAGATTATTACTATTTAGAAGGTGAATTGAAATTAAATGAAGCAAGGGTTAGATGAAGAGGAATTTGCATAAATTAGGAATTCATTGCTATCATAATCAATAAGTTTTTAATATGACCAAAATATTGAAGAAATGAATTATGTAATATTAAATAGTGAACCAAATATTAAAGACATGAATTATGAACTATGAAATTTTTTCTAAACCAAAATGAAAAGTCAGGTGAAGATTGGTTTAAATCAATCATGTACCAAATTGAACCATTTTTAATACTTTCAAATTAAGGCAATGTATATAAAGTTTAATCATCTGAATAGTTAAAGTTTATGCATTGACACACTATGACTAAATGATATCAAAAGTTTTCAATAAATTTATTTTGTAGGAATAACTTGTTGAAGAACAATATCTTTCTTCTTACTGATAATTGCACAACATTACATAGTATATAAATGTCTCCCTAACGTTTACTGAGGTTTCTCTTGAGGCAAATACTATACTCGCCATTCAATCACATGATCGAATGATTGTCTGCACAATAAAATCCTTTATCTGTATGAGATGAGGGCTCGAATCTGTAAGATCAAAGATGAGTACGTAAATGCACATGAGTTATTATGAAAAACTAACCAACTTTACGTCTTGTATTTCCTGAACATGCCCTGGAACTACTTCAGACAACAAAAAAACTATTTTAAGCAACTGCCTTTGGCTGCTTGCAGGGCAAGGATAGCACAACAATTAAATTAACAAACTAGTTAAATCTTTTAAACAAAATAACTAAGTCATGAGTTTGGGATGTATGTATAGGGTGAAATTGCAAACTACACCACAGCAGAGAAGTAGGCTTCCAGTTCCAGCCCTCTAACATTTGGTGGGACCAATGGCTCAATATCTTATTTGTATTACAATAAAACTGACTCACTGTAATGCTGATGTATCAAATGTTTTGATTTTGTATACATTAAACATAATACAAAAACAACAAAAAATGTAAGAGAATTATACTCAATATAATGGACTTTACCTTATATAAGATTTAAGGCAAATATTGGTTACAGATTTAGAATTTGGCAAACACAACACAAAATTTTCATTTTCATTTACAAATGATGATATTGGTGATGATTCATTACTATGTTCTCCAAGATTATCACTGTCAACCTTAAAAGAATAAAAAATAAAGATGCCATGAAAACGTATTATAATATACATTATACTTAAAAATATACCAATTTTTTTTAAATTTTAAATAAAAGTACATGTTACTTAGAGTAGTCAATATACAGTTTACAAATAGTCATAGAAATAAAACTTGATGATATACTAAAGCAGCAACCAGACTTTGGGTAGTCTATATTTATATAGTGTACCCTTAGGAATATCACCAAGTTGTTTCATTTGTGATAACATGAGTATTTACGGTGGATGTTTTGAAAATCCTATTACCATGCAACTGGTTACAATGCGCAATTTTGGTAATTTTTATTTTTGGTTATTTCTGCGTTGGATGTTGGTTAGGATGTACATTGCTTATTTTGTGCTTTACACTGTAAAATGGCTGCGAGTGGTAAGATTAACCTGAAGATTTTGACGATTCCGAACGAATCGGAAAGAAAACATTGATTGACTGGTGTGTAAATGAAGATTCAAATGGCTTTATTCACCTCTCAGTAAATTACACAGTGACATTTAAGGATTCAGAAAACAGAGCTCATATCAACACTATGAAAGGTATGTGGGGTATAATAAAAAGGGATTTTTGAAAAAAAATGTCACCGATAGCCCGGTGGGATGGAGGATATTTTTTATTTTTGAATTTTTATGTGGTGACGGCAGTATACAGATTCTAGTTCAGATAAATTTAAACAGTTTTTGGATGCTGTTAAGGAATTCTGTGTGCTACACAGGGAAGAGACAATTTCTAAATAAGGTAAGCCAATGTTTCCTTTTTGTGCTGTGCAGATTAGATAACATGTATTTTCATTTTTATGTTATTTCCTTGTTTTCTTTTTGATTTAAAATGCAGTTTATTGAGATTATAATTTTCTTTATGTTTTATTGCATTATGTTTCGGATGCTACTTTACTTGGAAGGGTGTTGCACATAAACAGGAATGGTGCCAAAAAAAAATCGCCAATTTTTGCCAGGGGTACCCCAAAATATATTTTTCACAAAACTTTTTTAAAAATATAAATTAAGATAAACATCACTCTCATATACATTGAGATACATATTTGTATATGTTGACATTCTATCAATGTATGAGAATCCCAAAATTTGCAGCATTCAAGTCTTCAAGTAGCTGTTGTAGCCACATAAAAACTCTTGTTCAATGTCTGCATTGTGTACAACTGAATATTAGCGAAGTGAAATTTGAGTTTTTTAATAAACTGTAATCTAAAGCTTCACCTCAGTCATCTAAATATGACACAACAGTCACATTCATCTTCTAGAACATTACATGACATCTTACAAAAGGTTTCACTTACTCGGACTTATACCTTCGATAAAAAAAAGCACCAGTATACCAAAGATAATTGGAACAATAAATATAATAGCTCATAAAATACATTTTAATAATATATTTTAATATATCTGATAAAACTAGGTAAATAATAACTTTGAAATGAAATGCATCAATTAATAAATACAAATTAGAATGAAATAAATATATTCAAAACAAACATATAATGTAATATACAAAAATAATTTCAGTAACTACATTTTCTTTTTAAAGACTCAATTTCTTCCTTATTATATTTTTATAATTTCACAATATTCTCCTGCTAAAACCTACTAATTATTATTCATTCATTATTTTAATTAAAGTAATAATAAAAATACTTCCTCTCATAATTATTTCCTTAATCATATGCCTTATCATTAAATATAATAATTTATGCTATAAGTCTAAAGTATGGCTGAGATAAAAAAAATATGTATTAAATAAAGAACTAGAAACATCAACTGTTGCACAGTATTTAATTTGATAGCACTTTCTTATACACAGAAGAAACTTTAAAAACATTTAGGCATGACAAATACAATAGGGGAAAAAAATTCTATAAAAACTGAAATGAACATATACTTAATCTTTGTTTCTAATTACCTTTGCCTCATCAATCCACTCCAAAAATTTATCAAAACTGAAGCTTGCCCAATCTCCACCATAATAACCATTACTAAAATTATAAAAAGCAAAACATAAATACATATAATACATAGAAGAAATAGTAGGCAAACTTTCTTTACATCTCACAGAAAGAAATATTCTACTAATAAACTGTTTTGAGTTTTAAAAGAGATGATAAGCAGTATGTTTCCAATATTTATAACATGTTTGATTATTAATATATTCAAACATTTCACATACTAGTTTATGTTTCATTACCAGTATGAAGATCCATTTGAGAAGATGAATGATGTCAGTTACTATACTGATCTTAAAATAACAACAGAAACATTCTGAAATTTCAAACATCATTGAACAGATTGCTCAACAGAATTTTTTTTTTGGCTCTACTGTTATATGCGCCCTAAGATGTTGCGATATATGTTCTGCACTGGTTTTTGGCGCGATTCCGTGCTGTGGGATGGTTTGGTGGACGATGCTGTTTGAATGGCAACCCTTTTGGCATTGAAACTTAAGAGACATGGTAGCAAGATTTCAGTCACGTATTTTAGATTGTGTGGAAAGTAAATTTAATATTAAAAGGTACGATGTTGGAGAGTTCTTAATGAGTCTTTTGTTCACGGGTGTGTTTATGCAGATAGAAGTGCATTTTTGGAATTTCTGTGGGAGTCACTACTTTTAAAACGAAGTTTGGTGTGTCAGAAATGCGGAGCTGATACGAGAAGTCATATGAAGGATGGTGTTTTGATAGACTTGTGTGGGTTTGCAATCAAATGGTTGCTGCTAAAGTATGTGGCTGTCAGCGGAGTTTAAGATCCGGATTGTGGTTTTCGTGTAGTAAGTTAACTTTGGAGGAAGTTTTTATCATTACTTTCGAAATTTTGAATCACAGAAAGACATGTGATATTGCAAAATCGTGGCACTTTTGTTGACAGACATTGTGTGACTGGCGAAATTTTATTCATGTATGTATTATGGTAAGTGCATTTTATTTTATTGTTTTTATTTTGTAGACTGTTATGTTCATTGTTTTTTTTTTACTATGAATTTCTGTTGTTATTTGAATTATTTGTAATTTATTTTAGTTATTTTAGTTCTTTTGTTGACAGACATTGTGTGACTGGCGAAATTTTATTCATGTATGTATTATGGTAAGTGCATTTTATTTTATTGTTTTTATTTTGTAGACTGTTATGTTCATTTTTTTTTTTTTTTTACTATGAATTTCTGTTGTTATTTGAATTATTTGTAATTTATTTTAGTTATTTTAGTTTATTTTGTTGATTTGTGTGCTATGCCTAGATAGTGCAATTCGTAGATATTTTTTTAAGTTTAAACAGAATGGTATTCTTTGAAATTTATTGTTACGTTAATTTATTAAAGCCAGGTGTGCGTAGTTCGTAGATTCTTTCGCTCCCTAGAGTGTGCAATTCTGTAGATCTTTTTTAAAGTTAAAACATATCGCCGTGTACATGGATACTTGTCAAATATTTTTGGTATACTTTAACGTTTTTGCTATCTAAATTTTTTGTTTTTGTTTCGTAATTTTAGCTTAAATTGTGTGCTCAAAACATGGCTTTTGCAAGTGCGAAAACCGCTTTTTTGGAGACATTTTAGGCTTAAAGTTTGAAATGTACACAAAAAATTTAGATAGTAATATGGCAGCGTGTAGTTTCTCGCCAAAAGCACATATCAGAGTAGTTCCCAGGCCTGTTGCCCGCTGTCTCGGTGGGAAAGAGGGCGCATATAAGAGTAGTTCCTTTTTTTTTTTTTTTTTTTTTTTTTTTTTTTTTTTTAACTAAGTTACATCTTTCAACTTTGATTTTAAAAATTTGAAAATTTCAATTTCAAGGATAAAGTTCAATAAATCATATCCACATTTTCATTTAAATCAGATTTTTACAAACATGAAAGATTGGTGATGATATCACAAACATAACTAGAATAAAACTGTCTGAAGTGGGATAACAACATTAAATTGTTTGATTGAGAGGTTTAAATAGCATATGTTTATTGAGAACCATCAGTCATATGCTTATTGAGAAGGAATAGAATCAGTCATATAAGGCAGAGTTTAATGAATAAAACCAAACATTATTATTGCAAAGTAATGAAAAATAGTACTATAAAGAAAGTGAAAGATTAAAAAAAAAATGGTTAGAGTATATTTAAGGGTGCTCCTTGAATTAATGCTAAGTTGTTGCTTCCTTTATCGGCAAGTTATTGCTTCATTTATGATAACCTGAGTAGCTGAATGTTATGGAAACCCTATTATGACATAATTGATTATGTGATTGCAGTGAATTTGAATGATCCAAAAAAATTTGTAAAGGGTTGTTTGTGTAATTAAGATTAGGTTGTTTGTGTGTTGGATGTTGGTTAGGAAGTAAGTTTATTTTGTGGTTTACATGGTAAAATGGCTGCATGTGGTGAGATTAACTCAAAGTTTCAGTATGATTTGGAACAAAACAGAAAAAAAGCATTAACTGATTGGTGGGTAAATGAAGGTTTGCTTAGTAGCTATTAAAAGTGTCTTGTTTGTACAAAGGAAATTTGTATAGTCAAATGTCGGAGGATACCGGCACAACAGAGGATGTTTTTTACTCTTATTTTTTTAGAACTGATGTGGCGCTGCCAGTATACCGATTCTATGTAGTTCAGATTACTTTAGGAAGTTTTTGGATGCTGTTAAGGAATTTTGTTTGATTGAAGACATGGAAATTTCAAAAGTAAGTGGATTTTTCCTTTGTGCAGTGTCAAGATGAATTTCCGTTTTTATGTTATTTCCTTGTTTGATTTAAAATGTAGTTTATTTAGATTATATATTTTTTGTTTGGCCCTAGTATAGAATCAGCTACTCCTTTGACTTTTTAAGTGAAAATAGATCGACATGTAGATGAAGTCAAGGGAGTGCGCAATACAAAGTTTGTGCAATTCTCTGATGTTTTTTTCAAGTAAAAATAGGCGAGTTTTGTTACAAAAATCTCTGCTACACAAAGCCAAAATAACAAGTCAAAGAATTGCACAAACTCGGTATCCGTGTACCACCAAAAATTGCCAATTTTTACCAAGGGGCACACGTAATTGTATTTTTACCAAAAAAATAATGAAAATGAAAGCAATGACTAAATGCACATAAGCTCAAGTTCTGCTTAATCACAGTAAACTCTCATTATTCAAAATTTTAGTAAATTCATTCTAAATCTGATTGAAGAAGAAAATAAAATCTGCTAATTCAAATTAATTGTCTTCTGAAGTTAAAAGATTTAGACAACATAGTAAAATACTATTTTACTTCAGAAACATAAATCCTTAAGCATCAAATTAAAGCATTAGACTTCATCTTTCTCATGAAACATTTAACTGTTCTTTATGTACCTAATCTTACTTAAAAACAGAACCTGAATGTAGAATTTAAAATAAAAAGAAGTTTCATTTACCTTTCTAAAAACAAGACTTATTTTTGAAATCAAGAGTAAGGAAAAAATTGCTCAATAACAAAATCACATGAGAATAGCAGTACATGACAACATGCAGCAAGCTTTGCTGCTGTAAGCAAAAAAATACATGAACAAGAAACTTTCCAGTAAATGAACCTAAATTGGCAGTTTAAGTAAATAATCTTATAAAGCATATAAAGCATTTTTCCTTTTCAGTAAATCCCTTTTTTGTTGAATAATATAGTTCATTTTGTGAAATACTTTTGACAATTTGACACTTTGTAATTCAATCAGTTGTCATCTCGTTAACTTATTATACTGTGTAACACCTACACATTATGTTAAATGTTTCATTATGCTGCATTTCCTTTTAAATACAGGCTTCTGTCATTTAAAAAACATTCTTAATAGTGTTAAACATAAAAACTTTGATAAAAATACAATAAAATTTTTAGTTTGACTATAAACAGAAATATAGTACTTAAGAAATGACTATAAAGAATACCGATCCAGATGCAAAACTTTTTTACCAACTCTGGCTGCAGCTGCTGCAATAATACATTCTGGCATACCTAAAAATTTAAAAACAGTATACAATTAAAATTTATGCATATTTGTGTGTAAGTTGAATCATACAATATATCAATTTTATTAGGAATAATGCAAAAGAGGAATTAACAAGAAAAAGAAAGAAAGAAAAGGAGAAAAATATTTATGGTACCACAAAGAAATGAAGAAAATGGTGAAATAATTATGCAATCAATATGAGAATCTAATTAAATTTTTTATAACTTACTAAATTATCTTTTGCTATCAATCTACCCATATGTATGAAATTACAATAGAAAATTTATGTTTCAGTGCCTATGTAGTCATACATAGTAGCCAATATTTTAGCCAAAACCTTCACTTAAGTTAATAATAATCATGTAATAATAAATAATCTTTCAATTTCCTCATTTAAAAAATTTCTTATGGTTACCTTGATTAGTGTAGTGGTTATTGGAACTAGTTGCCACAGTATTGGCTCAAGGTTTGAATTTTGGAGAGATTATGGATATATATATATAACCATTTACTCCCCATTCTTGTGAGATGTAATATTGATTGTCCCCCTTGGAGCACCACGGGCAGCATTATAGATTATGAGGCAGCTAAACCATTGACAGATCTGGGCATCGCAATAAATACTCACCTAGCAAATGTCTGGCGAATAGAAAATAATAATATTAAACAAAATATTTTAAAAAAAAAAAAAAAAAAAAAAAAAACTCAACTGAAAGATTTCAGATTTTAAGTTCAATCCAAAGGGAAACTTTTTTTTTTTAATGCTTTGTGTGTTACCTTTATTTATTAAATATCATGCTTTATATATTCAAACTATAAAATTCAGTTCAACAAGCAATATCGCAAATTAATTTTAAAATGAGCATATCTTTAGAATTTCCGATACACAGTCTCACGCGCTGGAGATAAAAATGTTATTTTCTATACAGTGTTACCATTGCTCACTTTGAAATTGTTTAGTTTTTTAATCAAAAATTCGCTGAAGGGCTACAAAATCTGAAATCGATAATAAAGCAAATTTCAAATTCAAATTTGGGCTTCCACATGCCCATATTCTATGGAAGATTACATTATTCAAATTTTGATGGCTTTAGGTACCATTGTTTTATTACAATGCGAGAAACATGCATTCTTTATGCTTGATCAGATAGCCTGGCTCAGTAAAAGTAGGCGGCCAGTGCAACTCTGATTAAAAATCTAGTTATAACCACGTGCAGTGCTGATAAGGACAACGTGTTTTTGTGACTCCTTCTCCTATTTTCTTCTTTCTATGTATTTCTTTCTCCTGATGAGGAGGGACCTTTAGCTGCCCTCCAAATCGATTGTTTCATTATACCTACGCTAAATACAAGGTTATTTTTTACGATTTTGATTGTTACATTAGCGTGTTTCTCTTCTAGTCTAAACATGCATACATTTATCTTCATTATTTAATTTCTTTAAATATAAGACAGGGCGATAATATATGGTGGCAATGATCTGAAAAGTGATACAGACTTTTAAAGTTTTCAACGCAAAATGCCAATATGAAATTAATAGTCCTTAAGGGCAAATTACCACTTTGGACAAAAAAGTTTCTAATGTAAATTTCAATAAACTTAAATGCAGATAGTTCCTTAGAAATTTTGGAGAGCTCTAGATTTCTGAGAGTTTAATTATAAACAAAAGATTATACATTCATTTTCAAATAAAATAATTAAACTACAGTCAAAAGTCGTTAATTCGGATACCCATAATCCGGACCTCAAAGCTTAAAACTTTCTGTGCATGCGTCACGTTCATGCATGCGCATAGGCATTTATGCGTGCACGTAAGACCTTTATGGCTGCGAATATACATGTGCGCATGCGCATAATACGTTTACACATGCGCGTTTAATGTATAACGGACAGTATAAGCTAAGCTAAAATTATCTAATTCAGTTAATGTTGCAGATTGCGTTGTTCCTTAATCTTCGAATTGGATCCGGCTTATTATTTTTTGCATACTGTTAGAGCAGTTTTATAAAAGTAAGCTTGAACTTTCGATTATGTCAAACAGAATTTCCGACATATATTTACTAATATGTAAAGGGTCTACAAAGCGAAAGTATGTTTCGAAGTCCATTAAACAGAAAGTGGAATTGCTGCAAAAAATGGATAAAGGTATATATCCTTTGATTATCTAATCATTCCAAAATATGTTTATCAATTTCACGCTGCTCTGCGGGGTAGGAAATGACGCGGCGCGCAATGAATTGGAAATTGATCTGTCAGCACTATCCTCATCTTCAGGGCAGATGTTTTTATTTTATTTGGCTTATAATTCTTTACTAAATGTAGTATTTCATCTCGATGTACTCAGTCTTTGATATGATTTAAATCAAGTTCCTCGTCATTATAATTCGCTTCCGATAGTAAAGTAAGTGACACAGAGGTTATTGAAAACGAAAAAATTTAGATTGACAAATTAGTCGGTATTCTCGACACAGCAATTATAGGACTTGAACAGCGGAACTTTGTAACTAAACAAGAAATTATGTCTGTTTAATAGAATTAAAGAGAAAATATTATCACATGAAAGGAAGCAACTTAAACAACTTACATTGAAAGAAATGTTTAATAAAGCAAACAAATAAATATTTAGCTTTTTCTTTTTGTAAATTTTGATACCCTTTAGATCATAATTGCTCTTCATTTCATAAATTATGGTTTCATATTTTTTATTTTATAATTTCTGCATGCCATCTTACCAGATTTAAACTGATGATCTATAATTCGGAAAAATTGATAATCCGGAATCGCCGAAGTCCCGACGAGTCCGGATTAACAACTTTTGACTGTATAACATATTACACTGCATTTCTAATTTAAATTAAAAAAAAAAAAAAAAAACTGGAGCTAGTTTATTATTAGAATTCCTTCATTTTGCCATTTAACATTAAAAGTGAATCAATAGACATATGCATCAAATTGAAAAACAAAAAAATATTGTTTTCTATTGAAAAAAAATTATATTAGAACTCATATAGTTTAGCAACGAACTGGACGAATAAGGTAATTTATAATTAACTTTTTGATATTTCAAATCAATAAATAGAATTTTAGCATTAATTTATGAATATTTTTATTATTCAGCTTCAAAATAAAAAGAGGGAAATTTTGGGGTTTTATTGGTTTTGAATCTTTGTGAATTAAGTCGTAAGCTTTTTATTTTTTTGTCTATAATTGATTAATTTTTCAGTAGCATTTTGCATGGAAATATTGGGATATTTTTGTTTTTAACATTTTTTTTTGTATTTATGAATTATAATTAATTAGTTTAGTTACTGCATATGCAATTAATGCAATTTTTAATATGTTGCACTAATTAAATATATTCATGATTTTTAAAGAAAATTTTCCTTTACTTCCATTTTTAGAAGATATTTTACCAAAATATGTACAAAATATGAACTCCTCCCCCTAAAAAAAAAGAATTGCATAAAGAATTAATGCATAAATCTAATATATAACAAAGTTGTTTTAATTGTTTTATGCTTTTATTACTATAACTTAAAGCGAGAGAATATGATTTAAGTAAAAATGTGATACACTGCCAGTCATTTATTGGATCTTGATTAAGAGCGTTTAATACCCCTTTCTCATGTCGATTTTTAATAACAGATGGCGCTACGAACGTTGAGCGATAAAGACTCAAATCTGTAAGACTACCTACAGCCTGGTTACTATGGCAACGACGCTTCCTTCCTCTGTACTCGTTTGGCGGGAAAGTGAGTAAGCCATAAAACACTTAAACACATCCCCTCAGTTGAACAAAAGACCTGCTGTCATTTCTTCCGTCTATGACTCAGACTGCAGAGTATGTTTTGAACAGGAATAGAACTTTTTCACTTTTGTGTTGAATGAAAGATATCTGTGAGATACGTGCAGTAGTCGCTATTTCTTTTCGCAAAATTTGTTCATCACGCTTTTCAATGTTGCGTAATGTTTCATAATTTGCCGTTATTTTGCGGAAGTAAACAAATTTCATCGCGACATAAAAATTATATATAAATGATTTTATACTTGATGATATGTGTATACATATATAGCAATCACATAATATTCCATTTACTCATCCATCCATAATATTTCATAAATTACCATCCATAATATTCCATAAATATGTGTTAGCACTTTCCAGAGCTTTATATATATTTTTTACTTGTATTATAAAATCGTATAACACTCCTAACTATTATTTTTTTACATCAAAAGTGGATAAATCATTATCAAATTTTTCTAGTACACGGAGAAATGTCTATGTATCCACACACATAAACGTAGTAAAAGATACTATTGTTGATTGAATATCTTTTGGCAGCAATATCAAGATGCAATGAAAATTCGAAATCAATTAATAACATGCATTTTATTAAAAACACTAGCAGGACGTTTATTTGCACAAAAAACTTAGTGTGGAAATAATTTGCGGCACATTATCTGAGATCCGCTTTGAATGAATACATAAAGTGTTATAATGAACAATCAGTTTTCAAGATTTCACTTGATACTGAAATGCATAAAATCAAATTGCGTTTCTATGTTTCAGGTTTATAAAATACAGCTGATAATTGAAGGGGTATCAGGTTTATAAAGTACAAGCTGATAATACATGATAAGGGAGAAGAAATTCCTAAATTACAAAATTGAATAAAATTGAATATTATATTTTAATAAAGTAAAATGATACATATTATAGATACATCCTAAAAAACGATAATATATATATGTAAGATAAAAATGTATGAATCAGAATTATAATATAACTATAAACATAAATTCTTCCTCTCTATTCTAAAATCGTAATAACTTATCTGCATTGCGTCATTCAAATTAATCATGCGATCTTACGTAACCGTTAATACCAGATGCCTCTTGACGACCAATCACCGAATTGTAAACCAAAACTTTTCTCTTCGCGTGCTTCCATCTTTCATAACTACGCACTTAAGCTTTTGCCCTCTACTGTGCTAAGATGTAACT